CAAAGGTATGGTTTTCCACTTCGATCCGTAGCGTTTTCGAGTGTTTTAATCTTTGTCCGTACGTAAGTGAAGAAGAAAGAGAGAGATAGAGACTTTGGGATAGAGAAAGTCAACGGGAGAGGATGATGGAAATGAAGATGGATGTGTGGCTGAGATGCAACCAACCAAGCACCCAAAACAACCACGCAAATAACAATTATCCATTAGGGGCAAAAATGTCATTTCACACCTACGGTACAAATAATCCGGGACGGGCTGTCACATTACTGTACAAATCAATAGCCTTAGTACCTCGTTGAACGCCGATCATTTCTACGTCACACATTTCCGGTCATCATTAAACTACTAATGTGATAGAAACTAACACACAAATTAAACCCTATAAATTATGCAATCGTAGTACGAGTAAGTAGGGATCGTTTTATTCTGGAGATTAGAAGGGATGCTAATCAACACAAATTAAACTTATAAAACTGAAAACTAAGTTAAACTAACAATAAAACAATGAGTAAGGGGATTTTGAATGAATTTAACTAAAACAAAAGTAGAAGGCAGCAAGTCAACTAAGTTGTGAATGAAATATGGATGAGGGGATAGCTAAAGTATTCTTCTCCACAAATGAATCATATGCATACAAATCGATTTCCAGTTATTCTTCCTATAAACTATGAATGACAATGCCCCAAATTAATTGTGAACAACACTAATTAACTCTCAGATTGTCCTAAGTTCATTGAATTGGACTCATCGACGCAATTAAATTATTCTTCTCAAGTTCCCTAACTATGAAAAGCATGATAGAGATTCATCTCAAAGATCATTAAGTTCTGTGAAAATCATAAGTATTGACAAAACATTCGTAACTATGAAAAACATGATATTCCTACCAAGGATTTACTTAACTCAATCATGACTAGTGACTTTTACTACTTACAAATATAAGTTCATAACGACTAGGTGAAATTCTCTTATATTCTACCATCAAATCCCTACATGCAAACTAAGTATGCACCCTTAATAAACATACAAGAATAAGTTCTCTATAAAGCAAATAAGTAAATCGCATTCATGTTTTATAAAACAATAACTGGATGTAATCAATTTATATAAAACATATAGTCATGGCTTCGAATTCACCTCTAACTAAAAAGAAACTTAGTTAAACATTGAATTTAAAACAAAGATAGAATGAACTCTGAAAATTCCAACAACTTCAATGGATGAATGGTAGGCATAGCACTCTCTAAATTGCTTCTGGAATTTCATATATATATGGGGGAAACAGCTGAATCCAAGTAGGAAAAGGTTTTGGCATTTTGAATTATTTTAGGACTCTATAAATCAGGTGGAGAGTGTTGGAATGTGATTAGGATTCCTTCTTGCAGCCGGAGATAAGATAAGATAAGATAAGGTCGAACAAGATAAGATAAGATATGATAAGATAATGTTCCTCTCCAACTAGGATTCCTCTTTCTTGTGTAATTCCTTTCTTTCCAAGCCTCAACTTTAATTTCTCCAGATTTTAGCGCATATCTAGCACCATTTAAACACCAAAAATGTCCAGCCCATATGCTATCCATGCATGCTATCCAATCCAAGTCCAAAACTGCTCCAAATTGCTCCATTTGGCTATTTATTGTTATATTTACCAATTGGACCTACAATAATATGAAAATAACCTAAATTACCAAAATAAATGGAAATTAACTAAGTAAATGCAAAGAAATAAGATAACAAAGTCACATAAATATGCTCCTATCAAATTCCCCCACACTTAACTTTTGTTAGTCCCTGAGCAAAACAAAGAAAACAAAACAAAACCTAAACCTTCCAACAATTGCCTTAGAGATTTTCAATGAAACATGACATGTTAAAAATCATTACTTACATAGATTTTAGCACTCCTTACTCTCTAACTTATACTTCACCGCTGTAACCACTCACTAGCTCACATTTAATCAATTACAACAACATTTGAAAGTAGTAACATGCCTTAGAGAATTCACTCAATTCCTCACCAGATATACTCTCTATTTTCACACAAATTTTCTGACTACACTCCCTATACTAAGCATATGTGAGAAGATTGATGTAAACATGTAGACTAGCACTCACATATGTTATAATAAAGAAGACACTTTCTGGAATTATTAATACAAACATGTATCTCATGAACGGAATGCCACTACTTAGAATCGAGAACCAGGGATTCTATACGCTCGTACCAATTTCAAACTCCACATATTGAATCTCATAACAATCAAGATAAAAGTGTAAGGGTTGTAATGGGGCTAAGATATTGGCTAACAAAGAAAGGTTAAGGATAAATAAAGGTTCTTAAAGTGATAGTAAGCAAAGTAATGAAATCAACACTTAGAATTCAACTTTCGATTACAACAGCCAACTTTAAACACAAAGGGGAGATTCGTACAACTTTAAGGTCAGATTCACATTTTTGGACCCTTCTTCAACAACCAACACTTACTGAACTCATTCTCACTTCTTTACAACCTTTTTTTTTTTGCTTTTCTCAATTTTTTTTTTCAACGTTTCACTTCTTTTTTTTTTTTTTTTGAAACATAAAACAAAAGCACTACATCACTGGATTCAAAATAACAAATTCTTGCCCCACACTTATTTTTCTGCAAATCGTAAATCAAAAGGAATTCCCAATAAGTCATGCTTCACTATTCTTTAAGAACAAGGGAAGTATATTTACTTTAGAACAAACAATTGTGCTTCATTGGCCCGAGCCACTAGACATAGCATCTTAGTTTCGTCACGTTGACAATTTCTTTTTTTTGTCACGTTCCTTTACTCTCTATTTTTGTCATGTTAAATATAACTATTTATATGTAAATTTGATTTGTTTGCGGAGTTTCAAACTTTTGAATCTCCTAATGCTAGTTTTAGCTCACAGAAGTTGGAAAACTTGAAGGTTTTTAGTTCATAACACTGTAAATTTTTGTTCCTGGGTGAATAATTGGGGAAAATGAGCGGTCGGTTTAAGAAATAATGATAGTACCAACGTTCAGTTTAAGAAAAGTCAGTGTTCAGTTTAAGAAATAATGATATTGCCAGTGTTCAGTTTAAGAAAGAGTGATAATACCCATGTTCAATTCTAGAAATAGTCAATGTTCAGTTTAAGAAATAGTCAATGTTCAGTTTAAGAAATAGTACATTGTTTAGTTTTGAAAATAGTTAGTGTTCAGTTTAAGAAATAATCAGTGTTTAGTTTTAGAAATAGTTAGTGTTCAATTTAAGAAATAATGATAGTACCTAGTGTTCAGTTTAAGAAATAATGAAAGTACCGTGTTCATTTCTTGAAATAGTTATTGTTCAATTCCAAAAATAATCAGTGTTTAGTTATAAAATAGTTAGTGTTCAGTTCTAAAAATAGTGGTAGTGCTAGTGCACAGTTCTAGAAATAAAAAGTGTTCAACTCTAGAAATAGTGGTAGCGTTCAATTTTAAAAATAATGTGCAGTTCGAAAATTTTAGATTTTAGAAACTTTTTATGTGTTTATAATTGATAATTTTGTTTGCTTGTGGAAATATTTTAGCTATTTGATCTTTTTTATTACTTGAAGAATCATAAAGTATCAAATTTCTAGTACGATATCGATGCATTTTTTGTTGATTTGTTTTCAGGTTGTTGCTGGGACATAACCAAGTGACTTGTAAGCTATAGTTCAAGGCCCTTGATTTGCTGATGTAAAAGATAATTTGATGGGATATTGCTATGTAATTTTAATTTGATGTGTAATTTTTGTTTTAGTACAAACGATATTCTATACTAATTACTTATTCTTTTTAGTACAAGTTATATTCTATACTAATTTATATTAAGGGGATAAAAAGTTTAAACCCGCAATGGCACAATGTTGAAAATATAACTTTAACACCAAGACAATCCTCTATTTACATGAGTTACCTATTTTATTTGGACATGTAGATTATTTTTCTGTTTGGGAAGAGCTTTATAAAAGTGTAAGTTTCTTGTTTATTAAATTAAATTTGAAAAGTAATATTTTTAGTTTGTGGGAATTGTGTAGAGGAAAAATGGAAGTACGGATGGTGGATGCCAGAGACCAAAAATGAAAGTGGGGATGGTGACTCTTGAATTAATCATCTCATGATATGAGTTTTAACTGGGGAATGGTTGCAACCGTTTGTTGGAGAAAAAAATTGAAAATTAAATTAGTTTTGGTTTTATTTGACCTTTTATGGGCTCGATGATAATTTTGTAAATAATGTGAAGTTGTGTTAACAAATTTGTATTAACATCTATTAGGGACAAAACTGGAAGAAAAACTTGATGTTGCATGTTGGGCTTTTGCTTCAGCCTATGGGATTTAATTTTTTTTTGGCGCTGTATGGTACTTCTGTCATTCTTATTAAATTTCAAGTCATTTTAATTAAATAAAAATTGTAAATGGTTTTTGGTTTAAAAAAGTTGGCTCAAGTCGTTTTTATTAAAACTATCGTGTTATTACTATTGAATTGTGTTTTTAGAACACTAAAAAGTCTCTCCAAACCCAACCAAGCCCTTTGAATTTTCTTGTTTAATTTCACGAGGATTCGAAGTCCTTTTTAAATGGACATGTATCAGTCCCTAAAAGAGTGAAAGGGTCACCACTACTGAGGATCTCCCCCCTTATCTTATTAGACGGGTCGTTTGAGGGTTCCTTCATTGATGTGCTTACATACTAGGCTACCCTTCTCCGAAAGATCTGCGAGACCACCTACCACTAGTCTTCAGCCAAAGGTTTTTATCTTTGGATCTCTTTACTGGGATCCTGGTAATCGAGTGATACTAACCATTTATTAAAAATCGTGTGACCACAATTTTTTTATTATATTTTTATGTAAAAACAAGGCTGCCTTACTGTTGAAAAAAAAATTTTAACCGCACGATTTTTGATCAACGGTTAATATCACTTGATCCCCGGATTCCCACTGAGGAGAGATCCTGAGAGATCTAATTCCTTTTCAAACAACAATGCCCCCCCCACGCGTCTCTCGGAGTCAGACGACAAAACAATCACGTCTCTCTCTTTCTCTCTATGTATACGGAAATTATTACAAAACATCGGATTTACAATTCCACAACTTCCTATTACGATGTCGAGTATCCACCGCGTATGGGCGGGCGCCGGAGCTCCCGACCCACCAATTTGCATCCGGGAACCACCACGCTTGCAGCCCGAGATCTCACATCTCCGGCACAGATATTACGGGAGTATTCTCCGGCAAGGATTCTCGCTGCGGACGACGCCGTCTGAGCATTTGCGGCGGGTGACATGGACGTTGGAAGCGGTGGGGTCCAGAGGGGCGTGGGAGCGATCGGAGGGCGGGGAAGGAGCGGAGAGCTCGAAGGCGGGGCCGTGCTCGTATGCGGTGGGGGAGTATCGGGCGTCGGTGGAGCAGGAAAGGAGTAGTAAGGATCGGAGGGTGGACATGGCGGTTGCAGCGGCGGTTACGGTGGTTCTGGGGGTCGGAAATCGGGTGCTTTATAAGCTGGCCCTGGTCCCCCTTAAACACTACCCATTCTTTCTCGCTCAGCTCGCCACTTTCGGGTAACTGACACCGCCTCTCTCTCTCTCATGATTATTTTTTAATTAATAATGTTATTCTTACCATATTTTTTTGTAATTGTATACCACCTCGTTGGACAGCAACATTATCTAAATTAATTAACATTTAATTTCAAAATGTTAATTAATAATTAATAAAAAGATTGTTAATTAAATGATGAGTTAAGTGTTTTAATTAATAAAATGATTGAAATTAAATAATGTAGCCTGTCCACTTAAGATGATAAAGAAATGTAGAATAAAATTGTGCTAAGAATAGCACTACTCTTTTTTAATTATTTTATTTTCCAGTTTTGGGTGCTTTTGGAAATTAGTTTTGAATTTACAAGACTCGGCCACAATCATTTGATTTACTGGTTTTCAGGGCGTTTAGTTGACCGTTTAAACTGTAGAAGAAACAATAATACTACAAACACTAACGGCGACAATAGTTGTCGTCCAACGACATCGTTTCCTCACATTTGTTTTTTAGGTCAAAATCTTACGTGACCTCATCTTACCTGATCTCATTTTACCGGAGCGTCTCGTAATAACTTACATGACACGGGACTCCGAGTGTATATCTGTGCCGACGGTATATTCGTGTTATGACTTTCATGTCACAGGTCCATCAGTGATACAATGTAATGTGGACAAAAGCTCACACATGTCTTTGACACAAACCCGACGGTAATAGTGTGTAAGTTGTTTACAAGTGAGATCCACGAAATGAGTGGCAAATGGTAGGGTGTCCAAATAGTGGGCCGTTCATCGTTTGGGAGCCTTGATTCAGACAAAGTAAAATTCAACTTTGTAGGTTTGAGATTTGTTGAATCGAATTTTGTAGGGTTGTGATTTGTTAAATGTATTTGGTGGGAGGATCATGTCAAATAAACCCAAAAAACATATGTTAAAAGTTGGAGTAACGAATATGACTACCTTGTCGAATCCAAGTTGGATTCGTCCACTTCTACTTTTCATGTTTTACACACTACAAATTCTTCCTTCCTTCCTTTTATTCTGTCTTTTACGTGCTAGGAGTGCCTATGTATGCATTATGTATAGAAATAGATACATGGATGTGTATATAGCGATTGTATATGCATATGTGAGTTAAGCAGTTGGCCAGAGCAGTGTGACAATTGAGTTCCATATCATAAATTAGAGCAACTGTATATAAATATATTGTGCTAGCAATGGACATTCCAGATCGACTTGTTTGGAATTACCTTTCTTTTGAGGGAAATGATGCATATTCTTTTCATCTCTTGCAGACTTGTTTAATCCAGAATGTTATTTCGGTTTTATTTATTTAATTCGATGACTGAAAATAAAGGTGTGTAGGAATAATAATATGATGTATGTGACTTTTATTTTAGTTTTCTAATGGAAAATAAAAGGTTGGATAAAGAAGGAGATGCTGCGAAACTGCAGAGATAGTGGGTGGGCCTAATTTGAATCTAAACCATTTACCTAGCAGATTTTTTGATTCCCATAAGTCAAAAGGGAGGGGGGAGGGAGGAGGGAGAGGTGGTAATGATTATCGTATCCTGCCCTTCTTTCTTCTTGTTATATTTGATTCCATCCATCTGTGCCTTTTGAATGAGTGTGTGTCAAGTGGGTGCTCAAAGAGCTCCCTCCTGTCCTTTTCATTTCTTTTTGCTTTTGGGTTTGTGGTCCACAAATAAAAGCTACGGATATCTAACAACTTTCATGCTTTATTTTTCTAAAATCATTTTTAACTTCCAAGAAAAAAAAAAGCATGAAAATAATTTTTAAATTGAATTATTGTACAATGTCTCCATCTACAAATATTGTTGGTATTCCTTGCATTGTGCTTGTACTTTATAAAACTCAATATTATAAACAATTAGATAAGAAACAAACATTTATAATATTGTTGGTATTCCTTGCATTTACAATATTATAAACATTTAGATAAGAAACATTAAAAATAGTGCGTAATTGTAAAACTTGAGCAATTCATTATATTGTGGAATAAAATGAGTTGCTCAAATTTTACAATTCAAACATATTTTTAATGTTTTATTTTATTTTAGCAAGTGGTTTGGGCCTTCTTCTTTGACCCAGTACGTCCTAGCAAGTTTAGATTAGTGCAGAATATGTCTTGGACTAAAAAGAAAAGAAGTTTTATAAAATATGAGCAACTCCTTCGAAATTATGTCTTTTTCTCTTTGAATTTTTCTCATCTAATAATTCTTTACATATAGAATCATCTAAATTTTTAGTTCTTATGTCTGGCAATTATAACGTTTTAAGGTTTAGGGTTACAGGTTTTAGGTTCAGCATTTCTTTTTGGTACGGTTTAGGATCTTTCAACCATTGGACTACATTGATGATTGATTTGGGTAACATAGACCTACTTTAGCTATGAGGACACACAAGTTATAAACAATGCTAAAATGTCAAAACAAAATTGAGATTGTTTTGCGCGTGTGTACTATCTTATCTGAGTTTATGTTATGATGAGAAGGGGTTTTTTTGGCCTAACTTTAAATCCATTTGATAAAAAAAGGAACTAGTTAGACTCTGATTCGTTCTCCCCAAACCATGCCCAATTGTATGGTTGAATATTTTGCAACTTGTTTATGAGTTCATGATCAGGCTTAATAGGTGTAATAGCCTGAATACCAAAATTTATTATCATTGAAATCGTTACTAGACGTAGATGGGTATCTCCTATCAGGCTATCACCTGATGAGAACCATCAACCCTTAACTGCCAATAGCTAATAGGTTCTGAAATGACAGCAAGGTATCCTCAATGTTTTTTCCATTGTTCTGTGAATGTGATATGAACTAATCACCTAATGTGAATCTTCCCCACACCACTGCCTCAAATATTTTTATGACTTTACTTTGATAGGCTTTTTGTTCACTTTCACTATGAAAAGTCATATAGATGTTATTCGAAAAGTAAACTTTACCATTGATGTTTTTCTACTAACGTCACTACCATTTTGTATAGATAAAGCATACCTTTCACTTATTTATTGCTTCCTTTTCCTACTTCGAGTTATGGTTTATTGATGGCATTGACTAAAGGGAGGTGTACAAGCAATACCTCAAACGCTTCAATACCATGGACTAACATCAATTGCTGCCTTTTAATTTTGCTTCTCAGATATGTAATTGTATATTTCTCAGTCTTGTATCTCCGGTATCGCGCTGGTATTGTTACTGATGAGATGCTATCCATGCCAAAAGCTCCATTTCTTGCTGTTGGCCTCTTGGAAGCTCTTGGTGCTGCTACTGGGATGGCAGCTGGAGGTAACATTTTGTAATACATTTCAATCTTACTTTCTTTCAAGGCAAATCTTCGGAATTTTTTTTGCTGTTCTTTGATATGTTTCACTTTTTCAACATCATCGTTCTCGTCCTTTCCTTGGGGAAGTTATGTGATGCTTTTTCAACATCATTATTATAGTTTTGTTTCACTTTACTAAGATATAATTATAATTATGTTCAGTTTTTCATCTTCATCATGTATCAATTGATTCAGTCCTGAAATCTCCTTTTGATGTAATTTATTCGTTATTAACATTTATGTTTGTCAAGTCCGGGTCTTCACTAGTTCTCATGCACTTATTTTGAATTTATTGGTTGTATCTGTATGATGGCAAACCAACCCACTGCTGAATGTTGGCCCTTCTTATGCAAGCTTTGTAGTACTGTTCGTGAATTTGTTGTATATTGTAGGGTTTGAGTATTCATATAATACTAAGCATTATTTGCTGCTGAACATTAAGATTGATACGCAAATATCATTTATTTATTTTTTTCCTCTTTCTTGAATCAGCAATTCTTTGTGGAGCATCAATTCCAGTTTTGTCTCAGGTAAGCCGGTTTCAGTGCTCACTTCCCGGATACGGCTATTTGTTCTGATATATGTAATTCTGTTCTGGTGCTCTAATTATGCCATGTTTTCTGAAATAAGTGTATCTGTGAATTTCCTAAGCTAGCACGTTATGGTTTGAAATGAAGGGACAGTCCAATTAGATGATGGCTTTAGAGGCGAAATTGAAAATAGAGAAATAAATGCAATTATACATGTAAAAACATTAAAATTTTGGTAGAGTACTGAGTGGAGTTGAAGCATGCAGCACAATTAAAAATATTATGTTTTTATAGGCAAGCCGATTAACAAATAGAACCAATGTAGGAACTATGTAACTACTGAACTCTGCTGGTCAAGTTTTATGCCAGGGATAATCAGTCAGTGTTCTGGGATTTAAAATTTCACTTCATGTTATTAAAAAATTGCTGCTGGTGGACTCAAGCTGACTGCAGTTGAGAAACATAACAATTGGATTGGCTGAAAAGAGGAAAACGACATGATAAAATTAGCCTTTGTACCAAATCTCCATATGTTTTTCCACTAAATGACATGGCTTGGCACCTTTTGACGCAAGTAATGGAATACTGAAAGTTGGATGTTTGATTTATTCTCGTAATTATTTTGCAGACGTTTCTTGTTTGGCAAATTCTCCTGTCAATTATTTTCCTTGGAAGGAGATACAGGGTCAATCAACTTTTAGGGTGCGTTCTTGTAGCCATTGGTGTAATCATAACTGTAGCAAGGTAAGACATATACTTTAACATCATTTTGATTAAACTTATCACCTTACGATGAAGCTTCAACACGACCAATCTGTTCCTCTGTGGATTGTGAAGTTTGAGTGATGTAAATTGACTGAGGGCAAAAACATTGAAAAAGTATTCTTCAAGTGCAGCTTCCTCGAGGATACTGGTTTTAAAGAAAAAACTAACTTGCAATATTTTGGTCATAGCTGTCTCACAGAGTAATGTAGATTCTGAACAAGCACTAAGATTCAATCGGCATGAATAAAGGCCAGACCCTGTATTTTCAGGCAACCAATTCTTCTAAAGATTAGTCTAGCCCAGCCAACTTGAAAATTTTGCCTCCATCCCTACAGGTTCTGTTGCTCAGATGCTCTTTGGGTTCAAGGAACTCCCCTGCGAAAAGAAAACAAAAAATACAGGCAAACTAACTTGAAACGGACAGCCACACACATGCACTAGAGGTGGATTTTAACTTGTGGAGTGTCGTGGATGTCGCATATGACTATAAGGTGTTAATTGCATTGATCACGTATGCAGCATTGATGGGCGTTGACCATCACACTGATTACTAGATCCTTTCCTATAGGTTTAAAGTTGACACAAAAAGCTTAGATGTGTAATACCTTTCTCTAATTATAGAGAAACTGCTGGTATTTTCTTGATTTCGTTGATAATTGATAAAACTTGGGTAAAAAAAATCCTTGATAAGTTTTGGAATGGAAAAAAATCCTAATTACCCCAACCACAGTTACGTACTTCTTCCCTCCTGTGTTCTTATGGCCTTGTTAAGTAGTTGATTGTTTCACTAAGTCAAATGGTCAAACTGTAAAATTCCAGACAAAACCAATCTTACGTGATTTACTTCATAAACTGATCTTTGTTATTTTACTTTTTAGTTTTTTCTGAGTCCATTCCGCAGTTGTCAATTATCTCTATAAATTGGTCTCAAGTAGAATTTGGATACCTCTCAAGTAGGGTTCGTGTTGATTGTCTTATGTACAGTGTTAGCATGTCAATTACTTACATCTGTCTTTGTCTGAAGTGGATCTAGTGCTGGAAATTCGTTAAAAGAAGCTGGTGTATTTTGGAGTCTTCTCATGATAGTTTCATTTTTGTTCCAAGCAGCTGATACAGTGCTGAAGGTTGTAATATTTTTATGGTTGTTTAATTTTTTGACGTTTTGACATTTTATTACATTCCCTGTAACAGGAAACTTTTTATCGTTTTGTAGGAAGTAATCTTTCTGGATGCTCGTCAGCGGTTAAAGGTACTAATGGCCATGTACAGTTCTCATTTCTATGTTGCTAGATTCATTGTATCTTCTGCTTTCTAAAGGATTTGGAAGCAACAAGATATAGGATATAACCCATATGGCTACATTGCATTTGAGTTGCGAAAATGTGTTATCACAAAAAATAAGAATTACCACTGAAACCAAGACCGAAAATTAATATGGCATAACTTATTGGAATGTGATGTTATTCTAAACGTTCTAACATAATCGGGTATAGAGATCAAACAAATTCATTTATTTATTTTCTAATGAGATTAATTCTTTTGGTTTCTTTTGATCTGAGAATTATTATTACATTCAATCTGTTACAGGGAAGATCAGTGGACCTATTTGTTGTGAATTCCTTTGGATCTGCTTTCCAAGTAAGTATATACTGTCAAACAGTGACTTCAAATTTAGGTTTTTGGTGTCCCGAAGTTGAGTTCACCTTGTTGTGTTGTCTTCTTAAAAAAATTGTAATGAAAGCCAATTGTCTATTGTACATGTGAATTGCAGGCACTATTCATATGCCTCCTCTTACCGTTTTTGTCGAAATTATGGGGGATTCCATTTGGTCAACTGCCAAGCTATCTTAAAGACGGTGCAGCTTGCTTTCTAAACATGGGTACCTTATCAACAGGTAAGACATTATCTGTTGCATTCTCTTTGAAACTTACTTAAATTCATTTAATTTCTCATACTAAATATCATATCAGCTCAGCCTACAGTTGGCTTTCTTATTCAGATTTAATTTGTCGATGTTCAATTTTTAAATGAAATGTATTTACGATAAATGGCTATGAAGGCAAAAGGAATCAAATGGCTTCAGAGAAAAACCAATGATATGACTCCAGGTTGTTTTTGGGGGGGTGGTGGTGTGGGAACTAGTGGGAAGCTTAATGTATGTTGTTTCCCATCTAGTTGATTTATTTACGAGATGGCTCTCTCTCAGATTTGGTCATTCATATCGTTTGAAATTCAGATCATTAGGCTCTTGTATCCAAGGTAGATTTGCTTAAACACAAAAAAATAGAAGAATAATTGTCTGGCATAGTACGTACATATGTCATATTTTGCATAGAACAATATATCTGTCAGTCTCTTTGTCTTCCATACGACACTGCTACTTACTCAAAATAAGAAAAGAGAAGCGTAATATTTCCATTTTATGCAAAGAATTTGTTGTCTGCATTTGAGAATATAAAACACCAATATAGGTTCGTTAGGGCCACTCAATATTAAAATATCATTTCGTCCTTCTTTACTTATGTTGAGTAATCTAAACCACTGGAGTAACTTATTTGATTACATTGATATTGGCTGGCTACAGGATGTGATGGTGCTCCATTACTTCCGTTACTATTTGTTATTGTCAACATGGGCTTTAACATATCATTGCTGCATCTTCTCAAGATATCTTCTGCTGTGGTATCTTCCCTCGCATCGACATTTTCAGGTATGTCAATTTTATTGCAGTAACTTCAATATGAAGACTGATATTAAAAGAGGGAAAAAAAAAATCCATTTGAAAGGTATATACTACTAAACTACCACAGTTGGTTCATGCAAAATGGGAAACCTGAAATTTTGGCTTCGTTGATGTGGTTGCTATTCCACGAAGCTGAATGATGGGTCACTAAATGGTCGGTGCTCACCATGCATTGTGCATTTGGTTTGGCGTTGGTTTGGATTTAAATTTTAGAACATCACCTGAAAAACTAAAACCAACCTGCCTTAAACATATATTAGCTTTTTAAAGGCAGACATTATTGGATAATTGGAAGGTTTATTAGCCTTTCTATTTACAGTTCAGTTTTCCCATTATGCGTAAATCCATAAAAGCAGGCAACGCATCAGAAAAATAGCAACAAAAGCCCGTAACTACAACATAACAAATAGGAGACTAAATTTGATATATTTTCCTCTTGTTATTTGTGCTTTGTGGATTGACCAAATTCATATGTTGGCATCGTTTGGGGCATGCATTGCAGTGCCGATATCTGTGTATGTCTTCACGCTGCCACTACCATACCTAGGTGTTGCAGCCTCGTTGCCCACAGGCTTTGTCTCTGGGACCATTGTTCTTGTAATTGGCTTGCTCATCTATGCCTGGACACCTTCAGTCTATCCAACTAATGCCTCCCCATCACCTCCTACTGTCTGATGGTCATAGCCAAAAAGCAAGGGATTGGTCTCGTCATGGTTAAGAAAGATAGGAGGAAAATACAGAAGGATTTACTCCTTGTGTGGAAATTGGCCAATGTCCATTGATGAAACTTCATTCACAAGCTGTAGCGATGAGGATCCATCATATTTGAAGAGAGAAAACAAGAAAGCTTGATTGTGAATTTTTTGTTTTTCCTATGAAGAAAAGTTCCCGGTGTGCGCATTCATGACCCAGAGAAAAAAAATTTTGTGAGAGCATTTGCTGGAAAGAGAGCGGAGTTTGATTTCGTAGGGAGTTTGGTAGTTGTTTTTGTTTGTTGTATGTCTATTACATGTAATCTTCCTTTGTGATTGTTGGAGTTTTGAGACTCTTAGGGTCCCACATCGGGGAACTTTTAGTTCCCATTGCCATTTATATAGTTCTAGTCCTTTGTCCCAGTACTTACAACTTGGACCATTTGGAGGCTTGTGCCTTATGGTTGTGTGGATTAGGTTTGGCTAATATAGCCTAATACAATTAATGTTAATTAATTAATACAAAACAATTCGAGAATAAACACACAAAACAATTCGGTAGAATTCTATAATCTAGTGCGGGTTATAGAATTAGGTAGTTGTATCATTGTCAATCAGACGTTGTAGAACCATATGCACAAGAGTGGGATGGAAATACTATTCGACGAACATAGTTTTTGCGCTAGCCTCTATATGTGGTTAATCAAGTTAGTACCAATTTAATTTTTGTATTTATTCCTGTTATTTCATTTTGTATAGCAAGTATTTTTTGTCAATAAAGTATTTCAAGTTCTGTTATTTCTGTTATTTTTATTTATTTCTGAATTGTTCTCCAACAATCTTCTAATAGTATGGAACAATCAGGAACTAAACCTTATTTTGAAAAGCCTGAGAAATTTAAGGGTGGAGACTTCAAAAGATGGCAGTAGAAAATTCTATTTTATTTGACAACTTTGAATCTGGCTAATGTCATGCGTGAGACTATGCCTAGTGCAGAAGGAGATGATATTCCTACATAAACTTTGAGGGCTATAGATGCTTGGAATCATAATGATTTCCTCTGCAGAAATTATTTTCTCAATGCATTAGATGATTCACTGTATGATGTCTATGTGGTATGCAAGACAACCAAGGAACTTTGTGAATCACTTGAGAAAAAAAATATAGAACCGAGGATGCTGGTTTAAAGAAATTTGTCGTGAGCAAATTTTTGGACTACAAAATGGTGGATTCCAAGTCCGTTGTCTCTCAAACCAAAGATCTCCAGAAAATCATCCATGACATTCATGTTGAAGGGATGGTGATCAATGAGTCTTTTCAAGTGGCGTCTTTCATAGAGAAATTGCTACCTTCTTGGAAGGAGTTCAAGAATTATCTCAAGCACAAACGTAAGGAGATGACCCTCGAAGATCTCATTGTAAGGCTAAGAATTGAGGAAGATAATAGAAATAATGAGAAAGGCTTGGTTTCTGAGTATGGAAGCCAAGGCGAATGTTGTTGAAGGAAGTTCATGAAAGCAAAGGCCGAAATTCTAGAAAACTAAAAAGAAGGAAAAGAACTTTGTCCTTGGTGTGAAAGGCAAAGACATTCAAAAAATTAAGGGAAGTTGTTGGGTTTGTGGAAAGCTAGGCCATAGGGCTCAAGAATGTCGCCATCGAAGGGATCATCTTGGAAATCAAGGCAACAACAACTGCGCAAACCTAATTGAAAATGATGTGGATGCATTGGTTGCAATGATTTTTGAAATCAACCTTGTATATGACCATGCTGATTGGTGGATAGATACCAGTGCAACTCGCCATGTATGTGGTGATATAAATATGTTCTCTTTATACCAGAAAGTAGAGAGGAACGAGCAGCTGTTCATGGGAAATGCATCTGCATCTGTTGTGGCTGGAATAGGGAAATGTGTTATGAAATTCACTTTTGGAAAGGAATTAACCCTTTTTGATGTGCTGCATGTCCCCAATATAAGGAAGAATCTTGTTTCTGGTCCTATCCTTAGTAATAAGGGATTCAAACTAGTTTTTGAGTCCAATAAGTTTGTATAAACTAAAGGGGGAATTTTTGTGGGAAAAGGGTTACCTTGCTGATGGATGATTCAAACTGAATGTACTTGGTAATGCTATGAATGAAATAAATAATGCTTCTGCTTATATTGTTGACTCGTCTAATTAATGACACTCTAGGTTAGGACATGTAAATTTTCGTTCTCTTTTTAGAATGCATAATGTAGGTTTGCTGCCCAAACTTGACTATTTAGATAATGTTAAATGTGAGACTTGTACAGAATTGAAATTTGCAAGTCAAAGCTTTAAATCAGTGCATGAAAAATCCAATGATTTATTAGATTTATTTCATAGTGACTTGTGTGATTTTAGATCATATCCACCTTGTGGTGGAAAGAACTATTATGTAACTTTTATAGATAATTTCAGTAAGTATTGTTATGTTTATTTACTTCATAGTAAAGATGAGACCTTGGATATGTTTAAGACATATAAGGCAGAAGTTGAGAATCAACTTAACAAGAACATTAAAGTCTTAAGGTCCGATAGGGGAGGAGAATATGAGTCTCATGCCTTTGCTAAATTTTGTGCCACACATGGCATAATTCATCAAACAACAGCTCCCTATACACCGCAACAAAACGGTGTTGCCGAACGGAAAAATAGTACTTTTAAAGACATGATCAATTCTATGTTAAATAGCTCTGGGCTTCCACACAATTTGTGGGGTGAAGCTTTACTTATTGCAAATAAAATTTTGAATCGATTCCACCTAAAACGAGAAAGGAGTCACCATATGAATTATGGAAAGAAAGAACTCCCAATGTTTAAATTGCTTAAAGTGTGGGGTTGCCTGACAAAAGTACAAGTCCCATTGCCAAAGAGAACAAAATTAGGGCCTAAAACTATAGATTGTGTTCTTATTAGTTTTGCATCTAATAGTTCAGCTTATAGATTCTTAGTTTTTCATTCCGAAGTAAGCGATATACATGTCAATACTATTATAGAATCTATAAATGCAATATTTTTGAGGATATATTTCCATACAAAATAGGCAAGTCTAATTTGTTGAAAAAGAGATTACATGATGACGTATCCGAGGTTAATAACAAACCTAGAGAACATGATGATGGTTCATCCTTGTCTACAGTTCAAGAAGAAGAACTTGAACCTAGAAGGAGTAAAAGGACAAAAATTCGAAAGGAATTTGGACTTGATTTGGTGACCTTATTAACTATGACAGAACCTTAATCATTCAAGGCGGCCATGTCCACTCTTGAAGCTCCATTTTGGAAGGATGCAATTAACAATGAAGTAGATTCCATTATGCAAAATCATACATGGGAATTAGTAGATTTGCCCTCTGGCAATAAGCCAATTGGGTACAAATGGATTTTTAAGAAGAAATTAAAACTAGATGGTACAATTGACAAATATAAGGCTCGCTTGGTAGCTAAAGGATACCGTCAAAAACATGATTTGGATTTCTTTGATACATACTTGGCCTGTAATGAAAATTACTTCAATAAGATTGTTGATTGCTATAGCTGCACTCCATAACATGGAAATACATCAAATGGATGTAAAGACTACGTTCTTAAATGGAGACTTAGATGAGGAAATATGTAAGGAACAACCCAAGGGGTTTGTGGTTAAAGGTCAAGAACACAAAGTTTGTAAACTTGTGAAATCGCTGTATGGGCTTAAACAAGCTCCAAAGCAATGGCATGAAAAATTTGACCATAGTATGATCACACATGGTTTTAAGATAAATGAGTGTGATAAGTCTGTCTACACAAAAACTCAAAATAATGCTTGCTTTATATTGTGTTTATATGTAGATGATATGCTTATAATGGGAACTAATAAAGAGATAATAAATTGGACCAAGAAGATATTGAAATCAAGTTTCAATATGAAAGATCTTGGTCTAGTTGATGTGATTCTTGGTATAAAATTCAAAAGAAACCAAGAAGGATACTCTCACACAATCCCATTATATAGAAGCTACACTTAGAAAGTATGGTCATTTGGAAAGTAAAGATGCAATTACTCCTTTTGATGCCAATAGCAAACTAAAGAAAAATAATGGTGATGCTATATCTCAACGTGAATATTCACAAGTTATTGAAAGCCATATGTACATTATGAACTATACAAGGCCTGATATAGCATACTCAGTGAGTAGATTGAGTAGATATACATGCAATCCTGGGCATGATCATTGGGAAGCTTTAATTCGAGTATTGAGATACTTAAAGCATACAATGAATTATGGATTGCATTATACGAGGTATCCTTCTGTTCTTGAAGGATTTACTAATGTGAATTGGATATCTGATAGTACTGATATGAAATCCACAAGTGGATATGTATTTACCTTGGGAGGAGCAGCAATATCTTGGAAATCTTCCAAACAAACGTGCATAGCCCAGTCAACGATGGAATCATAATTTATAGCTCTCGATAAGGCTGGAGAAAAAGTTGAGTGGCTAAGAGATTTTTTGGAAGATGTTCCCGTATGGCCTAAACCTGTAACGGCAATATGTATACACTGTGATAGTTCAGCTGCACAATATCGAGCTAAAAATAGTGTATACAATAGGAAGTCTAGACAAATTAGATGAAGGTATAATACAATAAAACAATGGCTCTCTAGTGGTGTAATTTCTATTGACCATGTCAAGTCAAAAGATAATATTGCAGATTTGCTTACTAAAGGTTTATCTAGAGAGCAAGTTAAGCATACATCGAGGAGAATGGGTTTAAAGCCAATAGAGTAAAATGAAGCTGCCAAACGGAAACCTAACCTAGTTGATTGGAGATCCCATGGTCTAGGTTCAATAGGCAAACTGGTTTGGCTAGATTCAAAGAAGAAACACACTTACAAACCTATTCCTATGATGGAAGAAGTGTGGTGATTGCTGACGGGTGTAGGATACATTAGTTCAATGATATTGATTCTTGTAAATCAAGTGGAATAGTAGCAGCCTATTCTTAATCAATATCAGCTATATGAGAGTAAATGTGGGGTCGCATTTATGAGAATTATATGGCTGCATTTTCTAAAGCTCTCATGAATCTAGGATTTGTTTAGGACCAAAAAGAACACAAACATATGAATTTGTGATGTGTTGGTGTGGCATATATTTTTCTTATTGTCTTGGTTTACTGCGGAGATGAACAATTCAAGATTTTATATTCACTACGTCATCTAGTAAATTCGATAAGTATATACTAAGGTAAGTTCAAGTCCAAAAGACACCTCTCTTAATGTATGTCACATCTATTATTTACTCTTGTATCTTAGTTTCTCTAGGACCACATAGTCGTCTCAAAATGTGGGGTATTGTTGGAGTTTTGAGACTCTTAGTGTCCCACATCGGGGAACTTTTAGTTCCCATTGCCATTTATGTA